TGAGGGAAATGGATGCATAAAAATGAATCAGTTACTCCATCTAATTATGCCATGTACAGGTGAAATCTTCTGTAATATCCCTATAGTAATTATTAACTATGGTATGTTAACATTATGCATTCCACAGAAGCCAGAAATGAAGTATGCAAGAAAGATGGTCCAAGTGACAAGTAGAGAAAAAGTTTGCAATCAGAAAATATGTCAGGATCTTGAAACCCAGGCCTTAAAAACTCTAGTTGATCAGTCACAGTAACAATGTATGGACAAAACTCTACAACCCAAGGTAGAATAGGACAAAGATAAGTCAAAAATTGACATCACAGCACTTGGGGCATTCCCATGTGTGCTCCGTCCTCATCTTCAGCAGCCAGCGCAGAGTTCCAATACTGATGGTACCGGTCACAAGCTGGTTATTTGTCCGTCTCGCCTTTCCTCTGAGTGTAGCGAGTCGGCCAAACCCTGTGGTTACACTCAGGTGCCTTATTCTCTCCAGGCTATAATAATCTTGTTTCTCTACTGATTCTGTTACTTGTTCCCAAAGGGCCTTGACAACATCTGCCCTGTCATGCATCAGTTCACCACCCAGTGGTGCAGATCCAGCCAATCTGTCTGCCTGTTCATTACCCACCATGCCGGCATGACCAGGAAAAAAGATCCAAAGTATGCTCACTACCCATGAATAGGACAAAGTAAGTAAGTAGTATGTTAACATTATCCAAAAGAATGGTTACTAAACTAACAAACTCATCATGCAACAACTGGTGAATGCCACAGACATGTATACAACCTTGCTCCAAACACTCGAGCCTGGTAGACTGCTGCATCCTTCTCTGGTGCACTTCCAACCGAAGTATCACAACCTCCTATGTAATATTTGGCATCAGCCGTCACCACTGTCTTAGACTCAGCATGAAACTTGGCCAGTTTGGTGTTTGCACTTTCCTGCCATTTTCCCCAGACACAAACCATTATTGTCTGGCCGAAAACATTTTAATCGTGTTTTGCCTCGAACCGCTATTTTCTTTTATATTCCTGTATCAGCTTTACACATGACTGTCGATAAAGTGAAAATTGTTGTCGAATTTTTTTAGATAGTGACCTGAACCGCTAAAAACATCGTATGTGTATAAATGTTTTCATCTTTCCTAATTCTGTTGATATGGACATTGAGTGTAGTGTGGGAATAGATATCTGTTGTGTTCAGAACACAGCCCAACCATGGCTCAGGGTTTCCACCCTGTTTAACATTTGATGTGTATAAATAGTCATTTAAAGATATTATGCTGTTTCTATATATATTAACTGTTTTTGACTATGTGCTTACTACATTTGCAAAAAGGCCAAAAATCAATAAAAAGATTTCAAATAAAAAAAAATTAGTTTTTAGTTTTGTTCCAAGCATTGAAAAAATCCAAATAAGTCTATGCAAAGAGATAATTTGCATAACATCAATTAATTTTAAATATGTGAAAACATGAAAAATTTTCAAATAAACTTATTTGGGAATAACAGAAATCTGTCTAAAGTAATAACCAAATTCACTGAAAAAATCGCTACTGAAAAACTTCCCGTGCTAAAATATATCTTTCCTGTTTCTGTGCTACACATATAAAAACAATAAGTCTTCAGGAATTAAACATAAATTAACATAAAATTTTGGAAAACTATGGGTCTATCGATACATATATTTTCTGTACTATATAAGGTATAACAAAAAATATTCTTACAGAAACCGATTATAATTTTTTTGCACATACAATCTACTATTTTTGGCAAATGCAATTTTTCACATTCAAATCACAGGCTGTTGGGAAAGAAAGAAAGAAAGAAAGAAAGAAAGAAAGAAAGAAAGAAAGAAAGAAAGAAAGAAAGAAAGAAAGAAAGGGAAAAGGACAGTTGCAAAGAAAAATCAATACAGTAACTGGTCTAAAAGAGGGAACATAAAAGTATGATGCTGATTACATTAATTTCAAATACAAGGTCATGTTTATTGAAAAGAGAGAGACAAAGAGATCAGGCTTGGCTTAGATCGTTTACAGTAAGACAAAAACTCAACAAGCTGTGACTGCTGCTGGTCTTTATCTTAATCATCCTTATCCTACCACTCCCAAGAAGCCACAAAACTGTCACTTCCATTTGGATCCAATTGCCTGAGAGAGTACCTTTTCTACATGGGTACAGTGGCCTGTTTACAAGACACCTAGCCGATAGCAATGTTGTAGCTTGTGTCTGCCTGCGCACAAACTGAGTAAGACCAGCAATTAATATATTTGCTTTAAAAAAACAATCGCATCAGAAGTGGTTTTCCTGTGAAAAATTGGCTCTAATAACAGACATTCCGATGTAATGTTTCCCACTGGTTAGTGTTAACCTATGACCGGTCACAGAATTAAAATGCATTTGTTTACTGATGACTCCCTATTATTCTGTATAGAATTTTAATTGCTTTTGCCAATAAATGGGATTTGTTTTTTTAATTTTTTGGTAATCTATGTAAAATGTTTGTTTCTGACGGATATTTTTTGGGAAATCACTAATTATGGGCCATTGGTATTTTTTGTTCTAACTCACAGAACGAAGGATTTGAAAAAGAAATAAACAAACAGATGTTACCCTTGGTTTATGTTTGGCTTCAATCAGCAGACTGGGATCATAGGCCATCCGAGGTGGCTGCATCAAGAAGGCTAACCATACCCCGAGCCAGGGCACAGTCAGTATGTACAGATGCTCCATGTTGGCACAGCACAGAAGTGCACCCCACACTTTGACAATCAAGGGCTGCAGTTCTGCTCTATCCTCAAGCACGCCGCGCTGGTAGATGTGTCGAATCGCATCCTGATAAATGGGGATGAGCCACTGACCTGTTGCCTGATAGAATATGGTTGGGAAAAAAAAAGATAAGACTGGGACTTCCTTGTCTTGCTTCTTTTTTAAAAGTCAAACTGTTCCAAAAAATCTAAATTTATAGGAAATGAAAAAGTGCTTACTAATGCTGAAAATCCAAGTCTAGCTTTGAGGACAATTATTTCAGTATTTAAGAAAAGTAACCATAAAATATTCAGAATAAAACTGCATATACGCACCTCCAAATTTCTGCTGCAAATAACACTTATACGCAGTTACTTCTAAATGTTTATCTGGCGCAAAGTATAGTTCATGTTTCTTTCTACTTCCTACTGTATAACCCCAAAAGGAGTTATGAAGACTGTGATTCTCAAAGAACACTTTTATAGTTTGGTCTTAAAATATAAATTATAGAGCTCAGAAACTTTACTTGTTTCTTTTAGGCTGGGCATTTCATAAACATCTGCTGCAGAAATAATTTGTAGTAATTTTTCATTTAACTTTAATTTCTATGCCACAATAAAGCTCACATGTTTCCTTTAGGTCCTCTTTTATTGTATGCCCAGTTCCAACTGTAAAGATTTCTAAAAGGATCTAGTCAATAAACTCAGAAAACAAGGAAACAATGGTCACAACAGATCCACACAAAAGCCTGAATCAGACTGAGGATGTCACAACTGAGAAGTGTCAGTGTTTGTACTGCTGAATTAATGGTTCATGACGGCATGATGGTTAGTACATTATTTAGGGAACAGGATTTTCCCCGCCATCAATGGATGCTGTTGGGTGCAGCAGCAGGTCCCCTATCATCCAGACACTGTAACCACCGCTCAAGGAAAGCATGTTTAAAGCAAATGGCCTCTCATGTATAAACGTGTCACTGACAGATCTTTCAGGCAGTAATTTTGTATTGAATCTGCTTTAGGAAGCCCAAGTGCCTGCCAGTAAATCTCAGTTGGAATCAGCTCGAGTCCCCATGTTACACTGCGGTCCTTGATTTAAGCCATGTTATCACAAAAATATCTCCACAGTTAGATGCAGAAGGACAACCAGACATATGGACTGCGACCGCTACAAGAGACACTTGCATCAACAGCTTCAACACGTGGCACAACATATAAGGTATAACATTGAAAACTGGAACTGTTGTCACTGTGTGAATAACACTGTTAAATGTAGACAAAAATAATCTGCGAAACAGCAAACATTGTAGAATGTCCACACTTACTGCCTCATCTTGAAGGCCTAATAATATAAGGAAAGTCTCCAGTGCAGCTTTCCTCACAGAAACTATGTTATGTCTCAGAAAAGGCCACAGGCGAGGGGTCATCTCTGACAATGATGAAGTCATACTGAAAGAGACAAAACAGGCAGCAATGACTGTAAAGAAAATTAACAAAAGTGTCAGTGACACAACAGATTTAGCAAAATTTATCATAGATTTACTTGGGCAGTGATTTATTCTTCAAACCATGTTCACCATTATCATGCCGGGAGAGGGAAGAAGGTGCTCTACAGCTGGTTCTTTTGGTTCTTTTTAAGGTCATGGTCAATTTTTAGTTGACTGTGTTCCTTGTGTGGGATCTAGGATCCCACTGGGGGGGGGGGGGGGGGGGGGGGGCACCAATTGCCTCTTAACAAGCATGTCATGAGAAAGTGACTAATTAATGTTTGCCGACATCACATAGTAAGTCAATCGGTGTAGATGTCACAGCCTAGCTGTGAACCACATCATAACATACCAACCGTGTGCCCCCCCCTCCCCTTTTGCAGCAAATGCAGAAAAAGGTAAGTGTGTCTGCCTAAAGACTCTCCATGGTGGGAAAGCCCTTTACTGTAGCTGGTTTTCCCTAATGCCATGGATGGCTGGTTAGTTGAGACCTCCTTTGTTAAGGCACAAGGTATATTGAGAATCTGGTGTTAGTCACACAATATGTTTACGTCCATGCTCAGCTGGTAATATGGTCAATATCATGCTGGTTATCTTAACATCTTAATAAACTTCCTCTTCCATTTAGGGGGAGCCTCAAGTGTCCTACACCTGAAGGTTCTGGCACTAGTTTTCAGTATAAGCATGAATGTAAAGTCATATTTTCCTTAACATTCAGGGGGAGGAGAGAAGCAGCCGAGGTTGGAAAAAAAAAGTGATTACTTACAAAGCTGATGACTTAGTCACTGGGTGGGACATGAGCTTGGCCAGCAGGGTCATGATACTGTTAGTCGAGGCTGTCAGGTCATCCAGATCAGCAAGAGTATCCCACAGACAGCTCAATATAATGGATACCTGAAAAACGAGAAGCCAAATTTTGAAACACAGGCTGTAATCCCTATAAAAACTGTATTCCAAAACTGACATTTACATTTAATGTTATTTAAATCACACTAATCAATTAATCTTCTTATTCTTTGCGTTCACCAACGGAAAATCTTGGTTGTTCATCGACATCTGGACTTAAGTCTTGTTCCAGAACTCGGGTTTTGCATGCATATCAATTTTACAGATCTGGCTCATTCGTATGCAGACTGCTGGTTCCTTGCCTGTCATTCAGATGCGCTCTGACTTCAAAGGAAGCACCTCTAATTAATTGACATTTACAACATGCTTTTAAGGGGGAGTGGGTCCATTCTTTGTCCCCACAATGAGGTCCCAGAACCCACACTGGGAACTAATAGTATGAATATAAAGCTCACATAAACTGGCATTTTTAATGTTTAAAGTCACATTTTCTTATAAATGGACAAGGACAGTCAATGGATTACAGCAGGCAATGTTACCTCTTATAAACAAGTACCTAGAGATAAAGATACAACAAGAGATGAATGCAATAAGTGACACAAAGCTTGATCGTTTTACAGCAGAGTCAACTAATCATGACTAATCTGCATCCTTCCTTGCATTCTAGTAACTACAACAAAAGCCACCTCAAAAATAGAGAGCAAATCCTGATCCTCCAAAATTCAAACCTGGTTTACATCTACCAGACAAAAGTTGTAGATAGTGACTAAAAGGTATGTTTTAAATGAACACCACGAAACAAGTCAGTTTATCTTGAATTTATCAACTGGTATTAACTTAAACTACACAAATTTGAAACAATGTGTCATCTGGATGGACTGTTGGTTTCAAGCCAGTGATAGTAAACATTAGTCTTAATCATGTCCTGTGGCAACATTTTCCTCAGGTAGATTTAATAGGACATAGCAGATTAGGGCAACATCTCACCAATGTTAACGGGAAGAGCTTTAGGTCAGTTTCTACTGAATCAACAGTATCTATTACTGCAGAATTCATGTTAAAACAATTGGATCTTTCTGGTCGCATTCAGGACATGGCAAAACTTAAACTGTTAACACGTTTAGTTTCTATACCCATCCTGGTAAACACTACAGTTTATGTAACCGCATTAGTAAACACAATAGTGTTTCCTCTGCATTCATCTGAGGGTGTAACTGTTTTGTGCCCCTTTACAGTATGACACTATCCCACCCTGGTAAATGCTATAGTTAACTATAAATAACCACCTTCATCTTCTGCATTCATCTGAGGACGTAATTGCTTTGTGCCCCTTTACAATATGACTATATTTGCATGCTTCGGCTAACACGTTCAACTTCTGGTTGCCGGGTAAGTAAGCCTTAAGTTAGTTTCATACTGATGCGTAAATGAATATCTAATTTAGTAAACACATTAGTTTGTTCTATACCCATCATGATAGACATCATCATCATAGCCCACCAGAAAGAAACTAGGTCTCTGGCCAGCTCTCCCGCTTCAGGCATTTTCCTACCCAAGGTGTCTCTGAAATTCTGAGCCCATCTTCATGCAGGTCAGCTTCTGCTTCTCTTCTTGGTGTTTCTTGGGATTAATGGGTATCAGCAGTCTCCATGGGTATTGTGAGACCCATATTTGACAGGCCGCTAAAGGTCAACTTGTGTCCAAATCAGTGCCTCTCGGTCAGTGAGATAGGGTGGTCGTGTGAGGACATGTGTGACCTTTATTCATAATTAGGTGTACTATTTTATTCTGTTGGAGAGTTTGGACTGCTCAGTGGAATTTGATGTACTATTTGGAATGCTACAAATGAGTGTACAAAGCCGACTGTGATATTATAGGCTACTGGTGACCCCAGGAGTGGGCACATAGCCGGATGTGATATTATAGGCTACTGGTGACCCCAGGAGTGGGCACATAGCCGGATGCAATATTATAGGCTACTGGTGACCCCAGGAGTGGGCACATAGCCGAATGTGATATTATAGGCTACTGGTGACCCCAGGAGTGGGCACATAGCCGGATGTGATATTATAGGCTACTGGTGACCCCAGGAGTGGGCACATAGCCGGATGCAATATTATAGGCTACTGGTGACCCCAGGAGTGGGCACATAGCCGGATGTGATATTATAGGCTACTGGTGACCCCAGGAGTGGGCACATAGCCGGATGTGATATTATAGGCTACTGGTGACCCCAGGAGTGGGCACATAGCCGAATGTGATATTATAGGCTACTGGTGACCCCAGGAGTGGGCACATAGCCAAATGCAAAATAATAGGCTACTGGTGACCCCAGGAGTGGGCACATAGCCAAATGCAAAATAATAGGCTACTGGTGACCCCAGGAGTGGGCACATAGCCGAATGCGATATTATAGGCTTCTGGTGACCCCAGGAGTGGCACATAGCCGAATGTGATATTATAGGCTACTGGTGCCACAGGAGTTGGCACATAGCCGAATGCAATATTATAGGCTACTGGTGACCACAGGAGTTGGCACATAGCCGAATGCAATATTATAGGCTACTGGTGACCCCAGGAGTTGGCGCATAGCCGAATGCGATATTATAGGCTTCTGGTGACCCCAGGAGTGGCACATAGCCGAATGTGATATTATAGGCTACTGGTGACCCCAGGAGTGGGTACATAGCCGAATGCGATATTACAGGCTACTGGTGACCCCAGGAGTTGGCACATAGCCGAATGCAATATTATAGGCTTCTGGTGACCACAGGAGTTGGCACATAGCCGAATGCAATATTATAGGCTACTGGTGACCCCAGGAGTTGGCACATAGCCGAATGCAATATTATAGGCTACTGGTGACCCCACGAGTTGGCACATAGCCGAATGCAATATTATAGGCTACTACTGGTGACCCCGGGAGTTGGCACATAGCCGAATGCAACATTATAGGCTTCTGGTGACCCCAGGAGTTGGCACATAGCCGAATGCAACATTATAGGCTACTGGTGACCCCAGGAGTTGGCACATATGCTGAAGGCATTTTGCATGTCGTGGACTGCCGTCAAATCGAGGTTCGGTGTCGCCCTTTGAGGTGACCCCGCCTTGGAAGTTTGCCAGTGTGTATACTTGGCAGAATTTGTTAGCAAGACTGACCGCATTCATCGACCATCAATTCTTCATCGCAATGTGTTTGTCCAATAAAGAGACTGATGCACTATTACAGAGATGACTTTTAATGTACCGGTGTTGACATGGTTCCTCTAGTGTTGGTGGAACATTGTCGACCAGGGAACTTTTGTATACAAGGGTGAAGCATGATCATCACCCTAGAAACTTTGTCAGATATGGGATACATCCCCCGTGTCACATATTACATACGTGCCCCATTAAAGACTACAACTAGTATTATACCTGAGCTATTAAAGACCATAACTGGTAACTATTCCTGCCCTATTAAAGACTATAATTTGTACCATACTTATTCTATTAAAGACTATAACTAGTACTATACCTGTCCTGGTAAACATTGCACCAGTGACTCAGTCACAGGGATCAGAGATGCCGCAGCCACAGCTCTCACATCATCATCAGGATCCTGCAGACCTCTATGTATAGCAGACAGCAACATTGGCAACAGCTGGGATGTCATATCCTGTGTGAAACAAGCCAGGCAACCATTCAAAGATGAGAAGACAGGTATCAGCTATCGCCAGTTGTCTACAACAAACCAATGAATGATCAACTCCTGACAACTATCTCAAAGTCTGACAACCACAGAAACCCTATGGCCAACATTGTGAATGTCAGTCAAACAGGACAAAACCTATTAACCTATGAAGCTTCCTGAGAGGTTATAACTAGGGTGACAAGTGGTTACACAAGTAGTTACACAAGTAGTATACATCAGTGTGTCCCGCTGTTCTGGTTGGATAATGACATGTAGCATTAATCCCCACACCCCCCAAATGAATATTTTAATATTGCATGTATCAAAGACAAGCTTTATATCATTTATTCCCCATTTGGTTTCCATGACAGACCCACTGGTACCTAATGGGAAAGAGGGTGGGGGGGGGGGGGGGGGGGGGGGGGGGGGGGGGGGGGGGGGGAGACCGTGTGAAGACTCACTGCCACTTAACAAGCATACTGTAAAAGGTGATTAATTAACTGTTTGCTGACACTGGATGGGTTGGGCTGAAAGGCTCAGTTATCATAGTCCAGCTGTAAACCACAACGCAATGTGTCAACTTCCCTTTTAAAAAAGCAAATGCAGAAAAATAGAACTATCATTTTATTTATAAACATGTTATTTCTTCAACTTCACCTTTTTACAATCAAAATATGTCAGATGACGGATATCATAACTGCTGAGACATACCTCCACCCCCCACCAGTTTCAAAAACTCATACAAGACAAGAGAAGAGGTTTCAGGTTTGGTGAAAAAATTACTTTTTTCTGTGACGTTTTTATGCACTGTTGAAAGTTACAGAGCTGGCTATGTCGGATGTTTTTACAAAACAATACAGATATTACTCTTATGAAACAGGAAAATTGTAAAAATTATAACCAGAAAACATTAAAACAAACTATTTTAGTAAACTTTAATGTCTTCTGGCTTTTTCATCTTTAGGGGTTAGGTGATTAAGCTAAAGCATTGTGATAATGTTTAGAACTGATTCCCGCAGGTTGGAAGTCCCGCCTAGTAACTGAAATAAGCCTCTGATAATGTTTAAAAAAAATTATCAAGCTTTTCATACAGGTTGAAAAATAATCCTGTCACTAATGGAAGCTAAACCACTGTGGCGCTAAAAAATAGTAAACTAACCAATATGCCACAACAGTTCCTCTTATAATACTGAGGAAGATAAGCATAGAAAAGACAATAACTCTATAAAGAATGAAACAACACAGAGGACTTGAACAATGTTGGGTTTGCTCAATTCGGAAAGATACACTACACCCAGTGGTCATATTAATGGCCGAGCATACAAACAAACAATAACTACAGACATTGTCTACATTATAAATTTAACTATTTTTAAACCTACATGTGACACCGAACTGGCAATAAACACTAACATGTTGCCATAAAACCTAAAGACAGCAAAGGACTAACCTGTCGGACAGCCAGAATGTACTTGAGACTCAGAAGTGCCCCATGACGAACCTCCCACTGGTCCTGAGCCAACAACTGCAGTGATATATTGACCACACCTGACACTGCAGGTTCTTCCATGTACTTCAACACTGCACCCAGGGCCTGAGCACAGGTTTCTCTGACAGGTGCCACAACCTGAAGACATTCAAATAGCACTGTTACAGGGAACATGACACTTAACTAATGCACTTCAATAAGAAAACAAAAATATGAAAGATAAAGCCAATAATAGGCAGGACTTTTCTTTTCTGATAGTACACAGTACCGGCACCTTTTTTCCAGTCCAACAGTAACAGACACTGACTGGTGAGTACTGGCACTTTTTTTTTTCTAGAAAGAAAGCCCTGAGTATAGGACCCTATTTCAGGCAGTGGTGCATAAGGCACATGAAGCTGGACACATTTTTACTTATCAACACTCTAGAGATGGTGTGGTCAAAATTAAGCTGACTGCGATCACTTTCCAGTGATGGCGGCCAGCTTAATTTTAACACAACCACCTCTCAAGTGTTGATATAACACGAATTTTACATTCAACTGTCTGCCACTGGTTTCTGAACGGTCAGCTCTTGGGAACACTGGCCAAACCAACGCAAGACAAATCGCCCACAGCTGGGATCAAACCCGGCATTATGAAACGCGTTCTCAACACCTAAGCCACAGATGCCGACAGAGATACATAGGTAGCCTCAGTCTAGTCTTATCAGTCACATAAGAAGAATCATAATGTAATGTGCAAACACTAAAACTGGTTCTCCTTTTGAAATCTCATCAAGACAATGACCAATAATTATATCCTGTATATTTTTAAATTTGCAGAAGGAAACTAGTTTGGTATTTTCCTCCCGACCCATAGCGTAGCACTGTTCACACTATGACTGTGTAGCAAAGCTATCCTCTCCCTCCTTCCAGCTCAGAAACCAGTGGTGTGTGAGAGTGGTACTCGAGCTTCACATCTTAAAGAGAGGTATGGAGATCCTTAGAATGTTGTTCAGACCTGGTTTAAAGTGGTGCCCTGACCTTCTGTTATTGATTTGACACCTGTTAAGGACTTTGTGATCTATGCAGCCCTTTCAAACCTAGCCACAAAGGATCAGGCATCTAACCAACAGCCTTGGAATCAGACAGGGCAGGAAAAACAACAAGTTTCCTTGCTTCAAAAGACCATCCACAGATGACTGAGACAATCTTCATCTTCCTGTTCACCTGCTGTAAACTCTGGCAGAAAGTTTTGGTTGTTCGTTCAACTCTGAACTTAGTCTTGCTCCAGAACATGAGTGTTGATTACACATTCATTTTACAAATCTGACTTATCTTTATGCAAACTGCTGGTTCCTTGCCCCTCATGCAGATGCATTCTGACTTCAAATTAAGACTCCAGGGATTTAACAAAGTTTAAAAGAAAAAGTAAACATGTGCAGTGATGACTGTTCATTAAACACAGCACATCCGCTCAGTAACTAGCAATCAGGCAAATGACTCACTGACATGACAAAATAACACAACACTAACTATGGAAGTGAATAATTCAACATCCTTGAGTTACAAGATTTGATGTTACATAATTCTTTCTAAACCAAAACTGTGTCTATTAATTTGCCAACTACTACACCCACCAAAATCGACATGGGCAGCATAAAACGCAAGCCACATGTGTGTGAGTGTGTGTGTTGTATATGAGACAGTGAGTGTGAGAGAGAGTGTATGCGTGCCTATTTACCAGGTTATCTCACAAGTTTCCATAACAGGGGAAAAGAATGTAACGTCAATGGTTGTGTGCAATGGAACCTAACCAAGCATCTGGGCTGCTTAAAGTTAAATGCGCCTGCGTGCGTGTGTGTGTATGTGTATATATATATATATATATATATATATATATAAAAAGAACTGATGAACGACTCACTTCATCTGAGACAAAATCCCCAAATCTATCCAGTGCTAGTACACACAAGAGTCGCAAAGCTAAATCAGACAGCCAGATCTGGTTTACTGACAACAGCTGTGGAAAAGAATGTAAAAACAGGGTAAAATCATCATAGAAGAAACTACTGCATCACAGTGTCACATAATACCTCTATTTTACCGTTTTATCGTCTTGGTCACCACAGGAAATGTACAATGACACACACACATTAGAGCAGATATGTTGCGCAATAAATCATTCTGAACTATGGCTGGCACGCACATTCATGCGTATGCACCTCCGCCCACCTGCCTGCACACACATACTGATATGTGCATTGAAATGTTCTGGGCAAGAAATGACTTCCTGAATCTGTTACTAAAACATTTTCATCAATCAGCACATCCTTTACAGAAAAATGCTCTGGTCAAGGTATGCCTGAAACTCTCTTTCTCTAGTCCATTCTCCAACTCTATGTGCTTTCATAGACAATGCATCTTCAATGTGTCAGCTTGTATCTTGTATTCACAGAGAGTTTGACTCTGCCCCGATTTTTCAGAAACTGTACCCTTCATCACTATTATCTCCAAGCCACCAGGACGTTCAACATGGCCAAAATACCTAAGCTTTCAAAACAGGATGCTGTTTATGAACCAATTCTCCTCGATGTTCAGATCATGTTGGGTAATAACGTAATCATTTTATTCTACCTTCCATCTCCATAAACCCTCATCAAGCTATTGTGAATATCTTTCAAGGTTTTACAACTAAAAGTTGTCTTTGGGACAATGCAGCAAGTGTCGTACCAACACTACATAATCACCATTTTTACGACATGCATGGTAAGCTATAATGTCACTATTTCTTACTGCCGTTGTAGACCCTGGTAATACATAAATACATTATCAGATAAGACAGTTAATGCCAGAAAGGTCATTAATTCTAGGTTATGGACGCGAGTTGTTACTGTATGCAAAGATGTCATTAGTTGTGCAGCTTAGGATTTTGTTTAAAATTTAAAAATCTTAACCTGCACAAGTAATAGCAACTGCACTAGCCATGTTGCCTGCCCTAAATCATTAGGCTCAGGGCCCAACCCCACCCGCCGACTCCACCAATATAGCCAAAAAAAGTAGTAGGTACAGAAAGTAGAGTTTTTTCAATGTTTTTTTAAATAACATAAAAATTGGCACTTCCACGGAGAAATCACACACCTGGTTGCTGGGGATATCTGCAGCTTTCCCTGCCCCTCTGCCATGATGCTTGACAACTTCTCGCAAGCCTGTAGCTGCCCCATGCCTGATCTCCCATGAACTATGGAACAAGTCATTCATCAACACCTCACAGAAGTTCTGGAAAGGCCAGTCTTCTGACTAGAAAAACAAAAGGTTGTTTTCATATCAATGAGACACATCTTTTATCTAATACATATCTAAGCACTAACATTTTTGAAGATCCTCTGTAGAACCAACTCTATGTAATCAACAAGCAAAGAAGTAACTAAATACATGACCATTATCCCTCCTAAAATGTGTGTCTGATCCTATCATCATTAACTGAAGTGTCAAACTTGGTGTAGCATGTTGTTTTATAAACTTAGGGACATTTTTGTAAACTAAAATGTTATCTGCCTACAAAGATTCCATGAAGTAAGAAAGATCACAAGTGTGAATAGTAGAGAAGGGGGAATAAGAAACAGAGAGACTCTGTGAGTGCATACGTAAGAGAGGGAGGCAAGGAAAGAGAGAAGAGGGACAGCAGAATATAGGAAGCAAAAACAAAACAAAACACAAAGTGACAGAGTAGAAAAAACACATACCTCTTCCATCTGTGACACAGAGTCATCAGATTCAACAGATCCTGATGATCGTTCCCTTTTCACACGTTTCACAGGGCAAGCCTCTTCTGATCCATTATTGTTACTGAAGACAGAAATAATCACTTCATAACCTACTTCTCACACTAAATTTCATAAAATAACAACATCAATCATTTCAGCCATGATTCTCCAATGGCAAGAGCACTGATCTTTAGTACAGTAGTGCAGTGAACAACATCCAGCTGAGGCAGAATTTGTGGGGTTCACACCAGATTCATATTTGTGTCAACCCTTTTGCACTCAGCGGTCAACATTTTACAATTCACCTTTTCTTGCTAGACATTTACCTGGTACCCTGGGTTGACCAAGGTATTTTTTTTTATCAACGTGGATGGTCATGGTCATGATAGTCGTTAAAAAAAACAAAAGATTCCTGCCAATTTCAGTCAGCTCCTATAATGAGCAGCGACTCTATCTTGGCGTTGTTTATTCACTGCGTGTTGTAACGCTTAGTTTGGTCACCATCTAGTCGGGACGCTGCAGTTTCCGGTATCAGGGCATCCTCTCGAAACAAATTGTAGCCGTCACTGAGCTACCAAAGACAAGGCCCCTTTCAGGGTCCCCACTTAACATCTTTTTTTGGGCTTTTCTTTTTTCACATCATACATGCGTAAGTGCGTTAGCTGAGAGAGCTTTTTTTTTTTTTTTCATTTTTTAAAGACAGGTTTTCTTCCTGCTAAACATGGTTAAAGAAGTAGAGGACATTAGTAAGGGGAAGATTAGAATGCATAGCTGGAATGCTGTTTTAGTTAGGACTTATAGTAAGATCGGGAGATGAAGGTAGAAGTTAGATTCTGTGCTGCTGGCTTGTGTCCGCTGCGCTTGTCCTCGTCCTTCCGCAGGTGGTCGGTCGTGGTGTTTGCCGCAGGGTCATGCCGGTTGGGTCATTCCCGGTTCTGTGTTCATTGGTTTCGGTTTTGGTATAGCCGTTCGGCTAATAAACTGTTTAACCAGTTTCTGTAGGTCTAAGTCGCTGGTTACACTTAGGCATTCGTAGAGGGACATCTGTTTACTCTGGCTGTTGAAGTACGCCTGTAATTGTTGCCTCTGTATACTAAACTTTGTGCATTCTAGTATGTAATGGGCCATTGTGTTAGGTTTCCTGCATTGGTCGCATCTCGGGTTTTTGTACTTTTCGGGCCAGTAGCCCAATCGCATCTTCCAGAGTTTGTTGATCGCTGGGATCTTTGTTTGCTCTTTGACTTGAGATTGGGCTCTGGGTTTCCGCAGCATTCTGTGGGCGTCTCCCTTTGGAGTTTTCGTTCCATTGGGTTGCCCATGACTCGAGAAGCAGTTTTTTGGTCGCAATTTTTCCATCCAGCTTACCTAGACCTATTTCGGTTTTGTTATCGCCTAGGGATCCGTTCTTGGCGGCCATGTCTGCCGACTCATTGCCGACCACCGACCTTTCTTCTGCTAGTTTGGTTCTCAGTTCGTCTACTTGTTTGTAGATCCCTTTCTCATTTCTCAGCAACTGGACTGTATTATCTTTGTTTGGGGATAGTTCATTGTTTGCTGTTCTGTGTCCTGTGTTTGGGTTCGCCGCTGTGCCTGACAGTCCGGCTTTCAGTATTCTCAGGTCTGATTGGGTTTCTGTTAGGTCTCTGGTTTTGGTTAGGTTCCACATTGCTACCTTTATTGGTATGTTGGCTAGCTTGGACTCACGCAGCGCCAGTTGGACCTCTTTTATCTTAGGGCAGCCTTTATACTAAGTGCTGTGATTGCCCCTGCTAGCGTATCGTTTCTCCGGGTTGCTATTTTTGTTACTGTTTTCGGTATTCGCTTTGTGGCAGTTGCGGTGGTCGTGGTTTCTGCTGCAGAATTTGCAGACCACCTTGTTCCGACACTGGTTTTGAGCGTGGCCGAATTTTTGACAGTTCTGGCACTGGATTACCGAAGGAATATAGATTTCCCAGTACATTTCCCGCTCTTCTAGGAAGAGGGTCGTGGGTCTGTTTTTTTCCTTTTAAAGTAACCTTTAGCAGCGATGTTGGTCCAGCTGTCGATGTGGTCATTCTCACCGCTTTAAGGATTTCTAATATTCTGTTCTCTTCTTTCAGCTTATCGGTGGTTTTAATGAGGTCCTTTTTTTGGATGTATGCCTTTGATTACAATTTCTGTTGTATCTATTTTTAGCTCAACGGATACTTAAATCGTGTGCATCATGGTCATTTTTACGGGTTCTTTTGCAGTCTCTAGTTTTCTTACTAGGTCACTGTTGGCAGTCGTTTTCATATCGACTGCGACATGGTCTTTTAGCACTTTGTGTCTGGCGACTGAGTTGGGCCCTAGCCCTGATTCTAGGATTTGGAGTCTATGTTTGTAGGTTAGCTGGTCGCTGAGTATCGATAGTTCGCCATAGCCTAATTGTCTGATTTTGATTTTCCCTATTCGTAGTTTTTGTTTCTCCTGTTCACCCCTCTCTGGAATGCTGGGTAGCGGACCGGCTGGGTGTTTTTTTCGAAGTTATTTTTGGCGCCTTTGTGGTGTGCGGTACCTTTTTCTGCTGAGGCCTCGGTGCCGTTACCTCCCCCGCTCCACTGGGGTGTGTTTCTGCTGTTATGGTCTCGCCTTGAGCGATGGCGGGTGTTTTTCTTGGGCGATTTTTTGCATTCCCTAGCTTAACGTGTCGGCATACGTTGGTATCTTCTCAGAGGTTGTTGCTTCTTTCCTTCTTGTGTCAGCTTTTGGTTTTACACAGTCCCTATTTTGAAAAACGCATGTTAGAATGCTGGTATCTGGTGCCGGAATTAGCCCTCATGTTTACCATTTTTGCGGTTTTTGATTTCTTGACTCTCATCGGCTAGGCCTTGATCGCGGGTTTTGAGTTTTAAGTATAATTATACTCACACAGTATCCGTCTTGATCTTGAGGTCGTCTTGTTTGTATGGCTAGCACCAGCTTGTCCTCTGCTGGGCAACAGGCCTGGTTAGGAAGACCTCTTTAAAAGAAGAATTCCCAGGGTGCCCCCAACAGTATACAAGGCTAGTGCTGGGACGACTGACTATTAGTCAGCGTATCGACTTAAGATTTGAGAACACTACAGCTTTCAGACCTAGCAGATCAAGCTGAACTAAGCAGCGATCAATACTAGTCTCTGAGGGAACCTGTGACTTTCAAGCGACCGCTGAGCTAAATAAGAGGCAACGTATTGGGTAGCGGGTAGTTTACAGTGAGGCTACTAACTCTCACTTTTCAAAGCCTGCGTGACAACAAGTTATCGACGATCGGGCAGTGAAGCGGACTTTGCGGACGAGACGAGGCGGGCACCTTACTTGATCGGAGATCAGCGAGCGAGTGGTGATGTGTGGTGATTGTGATCAGCGTGGATTCAACCACAAAACTTTTATAGGCCGGCAGATGAGTATCTACCGTTATGATACCATGGCTCCTTCTGGGTAAATGACAATTTGCCTGTGGTAGGGCAAGATGATTCACACCATTATCAGACTTTTTTCAGTTTGAATATATATATAGTATCTAGGCAAGCTCCATCCAAGGTTGAACGCTGAATTAAGAATCGACATCACAGCACTCGGGACACCGCCATATGCGCTCTGTCCCCATATTCAGCAGCAAGACTTAAAATTCTGATGATACCAGTAACTGTCTGAATGTATATCCATCTCGCCTTTCCCCTGAGTGTCGAGCGTCGGCAAGAACCCCTTGCAACTCCTCGCGTCGCCATTCTCCTCAGACCGTAATGATCTATATGTGCCTCCGCACTGTTCAATCGCTCCCAAAGAGCCCTCACAACATCTAGCTTGTCATACATCAGTTCACCGCCACGTGGTGCACAACCGTCAGCAGTCAGCCTGCTCATTTCCCAACACACCGGCGTTCCATCCAAGGTGACTGGCTTTACCTACTTACGGATAGGCGTTCTGTCCTCTAATCCTTGCCATGGCAAGTTACTGTGATTTTCAACATGACTAACTTTTACACAGGAAAGTGTTGCCACTATCCAAGATGCCTTAATATCAAACCTCACTACCTATAAAAACAAAATAAGGAATCTGCAAATGAGTAATTTCACTAGACACTAATGACTTGTAGAAATTCCAGCCCTGCACTGGGTTTCTTCGTCTTCACCTTCACCGGCTGTAAACCCCCGCAAACAAGTTCTGGCTGTTCATTCACTTCTGGACTTTAGCCTTGTTCCAGGACTTGAGTTTTGCATGCACATCCATTTTACTTATTTGTAGACAGACTGTTGGTTTCTCATCCCTAAGCCAGATGCACTCCAACTTCCCTAATTAGCAGACTCTTTGACATGCTTGTTGGGGGCAGTGAGTATAATCTCCCCCCCCCCCCCAGTGGGGCATCGGAACCCACGCTGGGAAAGCTGAATTTCAAACCTAGTACCTCGTGAGCCTGAGGTGGCTACTGTAGCCCCTCAACCACACCTACCCTTTTTATGGTGGTCATATAGCAAGGCTATTCAAGTGGCAGCCCACTGGCTGCATATGACCCACAGAGTCCTCACAAATTGGCCAGCGTATCACTGTCAGTTGTACTGTATTAATGATCTTCCTAAACTAGGTCTCGGGCCTCTGGTCTATGACGTTCCTCATTTTTCCCAAATTTGGCCCTTGAATAAACTGAGTTTAACAGCCCTGTCATACAGACATGCACCAAAGTTACAGAAACAATCTCACTGTAAACATATGCCAGCTGTGTATGACGTACTGATTTAGAAAACAGCAGAGTTAACAAACTAATTACGTAGGCTTACCCAGATAAATGTTTTGACAAGCTTCTTGCTTTTCGCTTGGCAACATTCCTTTCCCGTGAGCTCATCTGACCTTTAGCCCCAGCTAACTGCTGACCGCAGCAATTCAACCACTGGCTGTGGAGTCACAAAAAGATTTACTTTGATTTCAATTGATAAACATAGACAGTTGCAAACTACTGCATCAATGTGTTACAATTTTGTTGCCCGAACCTTTTCACCCTGTGGAAGTCAAGTCAAAGGGAAGTAACCACAGCATGTATGCACCACAGTAGGTTTCCAAGAAATTATAGCAGCTATTAATGAGGCACACAGAGAAAACCTCAGCACAATATAACTATACTGTTAGAGCACTATAACCCACAGGATTGTACTGCCCTTACAACATCTAGCTGTCATGTATCAATTTACCACCATATGGTGCCAGAACCATCCAATCTATCTGGCTGTAAATTTATCAACACACTTTCACACACTGGAGAAAATACCCAAAAGACGTTAACTACCTAGGACCTCTGAAACAATACTCGCCACTCCGCATGCAGCACTACTTCCTCCACCTTTCTCAACATGCTCTGTGAGTCAGTTACATCTCAACATGCTCTGAGTCATTTACAATCACAAAATATATGTGTGTAGCTGGCTGTCAATCCAGCAAAAGCTGCAGTGACCACCTTGACCTCCACTATCAAACTAGATGATGTATCACATGTCAGGCTTTGCTGCACACTGAGCAACGCTCACTCACTTCTGCTATGAGTCCCCATGCACTTCTTCTGCTTCTAACACAAAGCCATCTAGACAGACCTGGGCAGAAACTGTCAATTCTCAGAACAACTTGATGAAAGCAACTGTATGTGACAGAAGAAGATCTAAGAGGTGTACTATCTCCTGTGCACTATTTTAGGAGGAGGGGAGAGGAGAACAGACCCGTGCCCGCCCCTCAACTGCATGTTCTAAAAGGCAACTAACTAGGAGTCTGAGGAAAGCGGATGTGTTGGGCCTTAATTCACAGCTATCACAGCTTAGCTGTAAAACCCACACCACAATGTGCCAACTGACCTTCTGAGGGCAAAAGCAGAAGAAGAACTAACCAGTGAACTCATGGCTAATGCCCTGGTACCAACAAAGATGATAAATGACACACGTCATTTAAAAGTCTAAATGTCTCTGTCCCCTTACCTGTGAGTTATTATTGGTGTTAGGAAGGGCTGAGTTCACTGTCATTCGCAGGTCATCATCATTGAAGAGGTTACTGGAATCAATGCCCAGACTTCCTGCAATGTCTAAGCCCAAGCGTTTGTTTAAGAGTTGCCTCTGTTGTAGTAACTGTTCCTTGTCATCCATGTCTGCAAACAAAGATCATCACAGTTAGGCACAGTTTTGATTAAATAATATAACAGAATCAAAATTCTGTACTGTCAAGGTAATGGAACTATCAATATTCTGTACAATTTAAGTACACAATTATCAATATTCAGTACAATCAAAGTAATAGAATTATCAAAATTCTGCACCATCAAGGTAACGGAACTATCAATATTCTGTACAATCAAATTAACACAATCATCAATATTCTGTACAATGAAAGTAGCACAATTATCAACATTCTGTACTTTCAAAGAAACACTTTTTTTCTCACAATTCTTTATTCTTTGTACCAGACTAGAACAACGATAACAAAGATAGAGGGAGAGGGGGGGGGTGAAAAAAAAAATTTAAAATCCTAAGCAAAACAGGAAATAACAGAATAAGAAATTATTGTATTTTCCTGTGTGTAAGTGGACCCCCAATTTCTAACTGGCAAAATCTGGGAAAACATTTTGTCTTATACATTGACAAATATGGTATATTCAGAGACAAGGTAGAGTAGTTCTGTAATGTTGTTGGTAGATTTCAAAGAAAAACAACAAGTAAAGGAAAAGAGAAATACAATAAGTGTTATCTACTAAGTAAAGCTTCTGGGAGACTTGCTACCTCATTTCACAGAAAACATTTACTAAAGAAATGCATCCAAACATGGACAAAGCCACAAAGGCTTTAGTGTGGGTGGTTAGGGTTTAGTGTGTGTGTGGTTGTGTTTAGTGTGTGTGGATGTGTTTAGTGTGTGTGGCTGTGGGTTTAATGTGTGTGAGGTTGTATTTAGTGTGTCAAGTTAAGTTTTTAGTGTGTGTAGTTAGGGTTTAGTGTGTGTGTGGTTGTGTTTAGTGTGTGTGGATGTGTTTAGTGTGTGTGGCTGTGGGTTTAATGTGTATGAGGTTGTATTTAGTGAGTCAAGTTAAGTGTTTAGTGTGTGTAGTTAGGGTTTAGTGTGTGTGTTGTTAAGTGTTTTAGTGTTTGCATTTGAGTTTTTGAAGCTAACTGTTTGGTGTCTGTGTGCATGGTTGAGTGTTTCGTGTTTGTAGTTGTGTGGTTGAGTGCTTAGTGTGTGCGGGTGCATGATTAGTGTGTATTTCAGCAGCTATGCTACAACTAGGAACTAAATGCAGAAAATAAATATTAGGAGGACAAGTTAGCTGTGTATCCTTTATAAGATACTACACAAGCAACACTCACATTTTTGACTGTTTATGATTTTACTAGGCAATTTTACGTAGTTTCAGTAGTTGTAGTCAATCTAACTTAATATTAGTGCTAAATTTCATACAAGCAGCAAGACAAAAGTCTGGGTCTACTTCACAAATACACACACAAGGGCTCCACATAAAATAATGCAATTCAGAGTCTCCTTTTAACAGGGGCTATGCCGTCCAGGTTAATTACCATACACTGAACAGGCGTCTTTTGAAATTTGCTGAAGCAGTCAGAATTTGGAAGGAAAATATTGTGTTATATAAACATAGCAATTATACGGTTACTTATGAGTGAAATGTCCAGCGTAATAATGGACTACATGATTTGGATGTTTCTGTGTAAAAGGATTTAACTGTGTGTTTCACTTTATGTTGATGTAAATGTTTAGTCTTTAATGAAATACACCAAAAGAATGAAAGGGTTCGGTCATTTGGTGAGGACGCAGCCTAACCAAACTGCAGATGAGACTTTTGCAGCATAACGTCTGGGAGGAAGACCAAGAAAGAGATGGATAAATGGTGTAGCTGAAACCTGCAAAAAGATGAACAAATCCAGCACATAAGCAACCCGAGAAGCACAAGACATATAGAGAAAACTACGACACTGGGCTACAATCTGGTATCAGTGAGACGACAAAAGAAAGAAGAATGAAATACACCAAAAAATATCCGGCAATAAATTGTGCAATATACTGTTTAAATCTTTATTATTTAAATTCACTAGAGGAAAACAGTTTTAAAAAAATCCTATCAATATGCAGTATCAGTGTTAAAGTTGAGTCAGAATGCAATTACTTACCGACAAGAGGCTGTGCTATGTCGTACTGATCCCCTTCAGAAGCCAGCAATGAGGCCCCACATTCCAAGACTCTCTTCACATCAAACTGGGAGAACAATACTGTGCCTGTTCCCACAAAACTGGCCATGCTGGACTCTGCAACAGCACCAAAATAAACTTAGCACATCAAGTAACCATAAAAGGTTAAAAAAAAATATATATATATATAGTTGGGAGATGTGAACCAGCGTCACTGCACAGTTATAAACCATAAGTGCTTTGGCACCAGTACGGACAGCAACTGTCCGCCTGTGTCGCCGTTCGCATGTAACACTGTAGCTACAGCAACGTTCTTCCATTCACCCCAGCGTGTCAACTCTGGTACCCATTACCTAGAAGCTGGGTGAACCCCGGTTTCTAACACTGGCCGTGTGCTGCAGCGAGTCAATGCTGGATTTGAAAGTGAGTCTCCTATCGACTGCGCTAAAGCTAAGGGCTGTATGTAACATCCTTCAGCTTATTTCCTGACTTCATGGATATATTAAACTAAATGTTTTTAATCTGGTGGAATACCATCTTTGGATTGTTGTTTAATTGTAAAAGAAGTGGTTACTTAACGTGTGACCTTTTCTTGGGTTAATTCATCATGGTAAAAAATATGGTTACTTAGTGTGTGTGCGCGCGCGCATGCACATATATATGTGTGTGCAAGTAATATATGCACACTGTGGCACATCATGCCTAGTTGTCCAATCTGATCTCCCCAACATCATTTGGTTCACATATAAAACATGTCTATCTGTGTTCAATCCACCATGATGTAGCAGCTAGACGCTCGACAGTGGATCTGAAGGTTGTGGGTTTGGGTCCACACTGAGCAAAATATTTTTTTCAAACAAGACCATGGCTTCCAAGTCGACCAGACTCAGCCTTAAAGTTGTGCCAGGCAGGGTTCTAGGAAGTAAAGGAAGTCGGTATCATGTTGACCACATCACCCCCTTGAGTGCCGATTTGTCTATAAAACTGGGGTCTTGCCTTAAATGCTCAATATGCCTAAAGTGTAAAAAGGTCTTCACTTGACTATATTTGTGTTCAATAACAAGTCTAAACTGACCAGACTTAGGGGCCCCTCTTGGTTCCCATTGGGGGACATTTTTAGCAATAGCATCCACTGCCTGCCCAGCTGCCACCCTGGTCTCCCAGCTGGAGCTTCTGAGATAACTGTGAATCTGAAATCAAGGAACAAGGCATAAAGGTAAGTATACTGTTGTACAGTTTGCTGATAAGCTCTATAAACATGAATCAGTCAGGTCCTGCCATTTGTCGACCCATTCTTTCCTCATATTTCTCTTTTCCTGTCTGTTCATTCACAGAAACACACATGCTAGCTTCTTTTTATATGTCTAAGAACTACTATTTCAAATTTTCACTGCTTGTTAGTAGTTTAACCAGAAGTAGAAATATGTCTGCCCAGGCATAGATCAATACTTATCTGGTGGAACATCAGTCAAAGCCAGATCACATTTTCTTACTGTAAAACAAAAGACCTACTTACAGAAGCATGCCCCACACCACACCTACCTCTCTCCCGCATTCACATCATGAAGTCTCCACCACACCTACCACTCTCCCGCATTCACATCATGAAGTCTCCACCACACCTACCACTCTCCCGCATTCACATCATGAAGCCTCCACCACACCTACCACTCTCTTGCATGCACATCATGAAGTCTCCACCACACCTACTTCATACTCACACAAGCAAGACTTCTTCATATATGTCACCCTCACATTACACAAGGACACCCCTCCCCTCTTTCTCCCCATATACTACTCTACTGTATAGGCATCAATGAAACTCATGACACAATTTAATAACCACAATGCAGTCTCTAAGCTTTAAGGACAATATCACCTAATATTATACAGATTACTTATTTGTAATATCTAAGTAAAACATGACCATGAACAAAAACACACACTACAGGCTGTGTTCACATTCCTGACCAGCTGATGAGTTTCCCATGTGAGTAATGTGAGCTAGTTCCAATTATCACTGAAGTTTGTGTTTTGAACCGCAGATTCATAAAGAAAATGGCAAGTGGCATGTTGCCACAGAACTGGTGGGATCTCAGGCAACTAACTGTGTGTGCAAGAGCAGACCTGTCGTAATTTTTTTTCTCCATACATAAACTGTAATTCTGATTGTGGAGGATCTCTGATGGTAGTTCTAACAGCTGACTTATACATTTAATTTGTGAATACACTGTTGCTAAGACAGCAGTCCATTTTAGGTTTTTTTTACAAGCTGTGGGGTTCTCAATGGCACATGAGCGGAGCAACTATGGGAGGACCAGTTTGCTGTGAAGTCTGAGCTGAGATTAACTGCAAATGTGGTAAATAAAGCAAGCAGCAGCAGTGTGTGTGCGCGTGGGTTTGGGGTGTTTCGGCTTAACAAGCCATCTCTGGTAAGAAAAGCCTTCAGCAAACTCATGCCAATTCAACTTATCTTTTGCTAGCGCATGTAGTTCACCCTATGCCCTTCCAATTTTTTTCAACTTTACATTCGTTTCCCTTCTCCATAAGTTTTTTTTTAGTCTGCCTTTATTTGTTGAGCTCTGTAGTTTCCAGTACATGGTCATTCTAGTTATACTGATATCAGGCAATCTTCTTCTTCTTCTTCACTTCCTCTTTTACCGCTGTGGGTGTCGAGGGAGATATAAGGTTCTGTTTCTAGCTCTTTTGGCTGCCTCGACCACAGGCACATCGTGCTGTTGTAGAGTTTCTCTAATGTTATCCTTCCATCTTGTTCTTGGTCTACCCCGTGCTCTACGTCCTTCTTCTCTTTCCATGTATGCTTTGTATGGTATGGTGTCATAAGGCATTCTCTCTAAGTGGGCAAATCATTTCACTTGCTGTCTTTGTATGTAATCCAGAATTGGTTCTGTGCCGACTTGTTCTCTTATGATCTCATTCCTGATCTTATCTCTTATGGTCACTCCTACAGCCCTTCTCAGACATCTCATTTCCGTGGTTACTAATTTTCTTTTATGGTTTGTTGTGAGTGACCATGTCTGGCACTGGTAGCACAGAGTTGGAATAAATATGCTTTGAATAAGGTGTCTCTTTGTGCTGATTGGGATTGTCTTATGCTGTAAGAGTGGGGCTAGCTGTCCCAATACTTGGTTTGCTTTACTGCATCTAATGTCAATTTCTTTATCCAATTTCCCATCTTCGGTAAATGTAGTTCCAAGATATTTAAACTCAGATGCCTGTTTAATGTCTTTGTATTCTATTGCTATGTTTAGATCTGTCTTCTTTTTTCCTATTGACATTACTTCTGTCTTTTCAGTGTTGATTCTCATATTATTTGTTTTACATTCTTCATTCATGGATGTTAGATGATGTTGCAATTTCATGGCTGTATCTGCTATCAAGGCCTGGTCATCTGCAAAGAGTAATTCGTTGATCTTACTAAGATCTTCATTTATGGGCTTGGCATTCTTGCATATACTGTCGATGTAGGTATCAGGCAATCAAAAATAGAAAAAGATATGAAGAGCGAATGAGCTAATGAACCTTGTCATCAACACAAGCAACATATTGTTTTAACAGTCTGCATACAAATAAGTCAGATCTGTACAACATATATGCACGCAAGACTCAAATCCTGGGAAAAAACAAAAAGTCTGGCTATCCTCCGAATAACGGTCCCAAATTATCAAGGCTAAGAAAATATCCTAACAGGGCCTCAGTCATATGTAAATTGCAGACCTCTTTCCGCCCACCACACTGCATACCGCGGAAAAGCTTCTGCCAAGTTAAACGCCAAGAGTTTCCCCAGCGCAGCGCTGAGGGGGGCTTAACTAAATGGCTGAGACTCACGAGCAGCAGTTCCTGCATCTCGTGCAGCTTCCTCCCTTTTATTTGCTTGTGAGTCCCAGCCATCTAGTTTAGCCCCCTCCCCCTTTCACGCCGCGCGTACCGGCATGGGGGACACTCTCGGTGGTGGCGGTATAGTTGCCGGAAAGAGGTCCGCAATTTACATATGACTGTAGCCATGTTAGGGTACATTTCGGGCCTCGATAATTTATGACCATTATTCAGAGGATAGCTAAAAGTCCAGCTATGAACTAACAACCTGACTTTCAGTCAGAGTTCACAGCCAGAAAGTTCAGAAGCATTACCAAAAGCATAATAATGCTACTTATCATGCACAAATTATGTAGGTAGTTTAAAATATCAAAAAATAAGAATCTGCCAACGTACTTTACTCAGAAGGTTGCTGATCTCGAAGGGATGCAGTCTGACAACATCACCAAGCTGCTCTGCTGCAGATTTGCGAATCAAAGATGTTGACCCGGTATCCAGCAGCAAAAACAGTCTGTCCAATCTGGTAACAATACAGGCAGACATACATTCTATACAGGTTAAAATCACTACTACTGCTGTACAACTCATTCATTTATTCATTATACAGTTGTTCCATTATATGTCACATGGGGCTGAGTCCATTCTGTGTTTATCCTATGCAATTCCTTTAACATCGTGGATAAAATCAAGTCCTTTGGCTTCTCTCAATGCTCACCTTAGGGGTTTCCTCAGTCATTCTACATCCCATTTTAGTACCTGCTTGGTGATTCTGTTTCATTTCTCCTCACAATGTGTCTAACATGGTGTCACTTTTCTATCTAATAACTAGTGATTGCCTAGTACTTTGCTGCACTAGCTTATAAAAAGCGGTCCAGTTCTAGAACCCCTGTTGTGTCATGATTATTTTGACCAACAAGGCTCTCAAAGTCTAAAAATTTCTACAAGTACCAAACCTGGATTAATAATAAAAACAGTGGTTCCAAAAAGACAAAAATATAACAGGGATAATGGAATTAAGTCAAACGTGGACAATGAACAAATCACATATGCAAAAAATAACGAGTGAAATGCGATGTCTCCGAAGAGTCACCAACAATACACGAAGAGACAGAGTCACAAACGACAGCATTAGAGACAAAGTTGGAACAAGAGCATGCATGAAACATATTGAAAGACAGAGAATGAAGTGGTTTGGCCATTTAGTAAGAATGCAACCGGATCAGATTGCTTATAAGGCCTTTTACAGTAGAACATCGGGAAGAAAGGCCAGAGGAAGACCCAGGAAAAAATGGATAGATGGAGTAGCTGAATACGGCCAGAAGATCCAGAAAACTGTCACTCAAATCACGCGAGAGGCTCAAAACAAATATTTTAAACCACGACACTGGGCTACAACCCGGTAAAAGTGAAGAAGACAATAGATAGATAGAATGGAATTAAGTCACTGAAACATTCAGCATCGATGCCTTAGCTCTGTAAATGTACCTGGTCAGTTCAAAGACAGCTGTTACATTAACTTAAATGTTTGTTACTAACAATGCTAGCATAGTTTCTGATGTCCAGTATCATCATAACTTCTTTAGGCTCAATGAGAGAGATACAGATATTGAAAAAGAGAATTAAGCCATGTTGGTTTAGTTTCTGATGTCATCATAACTTTTTCAGGCTCAATGCGAGTAATACATATAATGAATTAAGGGATTAAAGGCCTTACAAACCCGAGTGGATCAATCACGGTTAAGTTTGTTTAGACATGTATGCAGAATGGGGAGAAAAATCGGCCACCATGGCAGGCATAGGAGGCTAAAACTAAAAACCCCAGTGAACCAGCTCAGGGTCAACCCAGTGTCCGCTGGAAAGACAAAATCCCTGACTGAGGACTGGAATGGAACAAAGCCAGTAAAAAAAAACTGCTGACATAGAAGTCTGGCAATCTCTCTGGCTAACCTCTACACCCCAAGGTAGAAGAGGAGCGACTAAGTAAGTAAGTAATGTTTAAAACCTGAGTCACTGAAATGTTCAACGTCTTCTAGGCCTTCGCTTTGTTAACTGAATGTACCAATAGTACTATGCAACTCCCTGGTTAGTTCAAAGACATTTATTACATTAACTCGTGCTTGTTGCTACCAGTGTTACTGTTTGTAAATGCATTTTCCATATCATATACTAATCTATCACTGATATCTCTGTAAAAATATGCAATAAATAATACACTGACAAATATAAAGATGTCTTTTCTTAACCATTATTATTATTTTGCCGATTATTATCTACTTACAAAAACAGTTTGAAGTATGACTCAGAAGAAAAGTAAATCTGGTTATAAAATAAAAAGTAAAACCAAAATAAAACAAACAAAAAAACACACAAAAATTATTATATAATAATCCCATGAACTGGGATGGTACATCATATTTATTAAATAATTTAAATAGTATACCTTGTGCTCATTTCTGGATTTTCTGCATAGGATTTCAGATGTAGATTGTGTGTTAGTTTTTTGTGAAAGCTCGGTTATCACAGTATTCACAGAGATTTCATGAACCATGACCAAGACTGAACGGCTGGTTTAATGGTCGAGGCTCGCTCACTAACAATGACGTCGTAGGGTTTACTGCAACAGCCTGCATCTTGATCTTTCTGTACTCATTCTCAGTAACTTTGTTGTTAATTTATATATCACACTGAGCGTAATGTATAAGTGATCCTTTCTCTTTTGGAAGTAATTCCAGTACTAAGTAAAATATGGCAGTAAGTGTTTCCCACGATGTACCAGAATTAGGATCCTTGTTAATTTCCGAGTGGGTGCAGGGGTTGCAAGCAGAGACACTGATAGCTGGTCGAGTAATGAACTCAAGGAAGGCACTATCAAACACGAATTACTCCGGTTGAAAATACTACCACTGCTTATAAAAATATGTAAAGAAACATTTAATGACACGTATTTTGTAGTTTTATGAAATATTGCGAATAGTTGGGTGGTAATTTGATTCTTAATGGAGGCGACCTTGCCGGGATCACAGTGTGTATTTATACTGACTGCCATCTTGCAGGTCTAACGGCCAAATACTGATGACGTTCGCCAACGATTGGCTGAGACAACCCTGACCTATTTCCAGCCAACCAATCGATGTAATTGCTCTATCGAAAACCGGCTCCAATGTTGCAAATGGGACGGAAAAAAAGGACGTGTCTGCTGATATTAATAATAATAATATTGATGTTTTGTTTGTAAGCCCGATTGTGTAATAAATATGCCACTGTCAAGTTTTGTTGTTGTGTCCACTGTAAAGCTTTATTGTGTTGTTTTAAATCCACCGGTCAATAACTAAAGATATTAGTCACTTAAACAGATCATCATCATTATCAGCATCGGGATCTGTTTAAAAAAAATACAGAATAGATGCAATGTGATTTGACATTTCACATGGGACATGTTATGTTATCATAATCAATGCCCCTGCACATAAGGCGTTCCCATAGGTACGCAGCTCTCTGAAGCAGCAGCCACTCCAAAGTACCTGGAAGTTGGTTATAGTATAGTGTCTGCGGTGACCTAGAAGACGACATAGACCAAGCTTTTTTTTAATATGTTAGAGGACATATGAGGGATAGCAGTCTACACAGAATTTACTATTTGTACTAAATGCTATATAAACTATTTGCCGCACGTCACAGGCCGACAGGGTCACCCATTTGCCCGTCGGTAGACGACTTCGTCGCCGGTCGGGACAGTATTTGGGTCTGTCTTCTTTGATCGCATCGACACTGCAGGAGTCCTTGTCATGGCTTGTGGGTGACGTGCAATACTTAGCCATTTTAAATGGCGCACGCAATCTAATGGCAGTTATAACCTAAAGCTTTCCCTTGGGGAGTGCTGGTTGAATGTGACGATTTTTTTTTTCTTTCAGCACAGCAAGCCAAGCCAAGTCGTAAGCCAAATCACTGTTCCAATTCCAAACAATGTTTTCCCGTTGTAAACACAAATAATGTGGGCACAACAATACATAGCACTAAACATGAATCCTTTTTTACTGACAACGCAATTTGTGTATTTCGGAGAAATATGTTAAATTTTTTTTTACAGGCTTCTTTATATGTCGATTTAACTCTAGCAGCCTGGTAAAATACGTCGAATTATGCCAGGCAATAAAAAGTAATGTATTGTTTGTGTACGCATTATTTCAATGCGGCACCATATTATATCAGCACCTGATCCTTTCAGTGATTGATTATGGCCTGGGACTGCTTGCAGTCTCGAGTCAGATGGACAAACTAGAGGGCACACAGAATGCAACTATGCGGGTCGTTCTGGGTTGCACCAGAGACACCCTAGGTGTGTGTATGCGTTACATCCTTGGTTTGCCGACTGTTGCAGGTGGGCACAAGGTGCTACAGGCGAAGTCATATCTTAAGGTAGCTGCGGACACAGATCACCATTTGCACGAAGCTAGAGGCAGTTAAATACGATTTCAACAAAATCTTAATTAATCGCATTTTGGGACCTACATATGTAGCAACGGGTCTGTGACCCCCCCCCCCCCCCCCCCCCCCCCCTTTTTCCCCCATAATTCATGGTCGCAGGTACACGAGGTTGACCCCTCCCCCCTCCCCCTTTTGCCCCTGTGTATAGACATTCTCTTTTTAAACGTTTTTTTTTTCATACTTATTATTTCATTTATAGTATTATATTTTTTTGCCACAAAAAAATATTTTTGCTGCACAGTTAAACAAGGCTTTAGCCCCCTTGACTTCCCGCCCCTAAAAAAATTAATATCAGCCACCCCTTCCCCCAGTTTTCTTAGTGCCCGCGCGCATGCTCATATTGGGGCCCTATAGTCCACAAGAGGACCTCTCTGCATTGTAATATTGGACTTGATTGCTTTCGTTTCCATCAGATATTACCCATTATGTCATATAATTGCATCTATATGGCTCCAAATAGAATCGTGTATTGCCTGTTTACTGTTCGCGTATCTGCGCTATATGTGAAGCATAACAGTAATCAGAAGATTCTCGCTTCAACGCGGCTTATAACTAATCCAGTCACGTGTCAAGAAACAGATCAACCAGATGTGACTGGCGACAGGAAATTGAATTATAAATGAATAAACTTTAGGAGGCGCGTTTTTTACCCAGAATAAAGTGCTTATGTATTTTTATAAGGTGACGGAGGCTTGTACTTTTCAGGATATTTCCTTTTACGCATTTTAGACTAAGTCCACATAAACCAAAGTCAGTTTTAAAAGAGTTCCTCCGGGTACGAATTCGAACCCAAGATCCTCGTCGGCTATCCTTCGAATAACGTCCACATATTATGGCGGCCAAAAACAGGGCCTCAGTCACATGTAAATTGCGAACCTCCGGCGACTTAAATGCAGATATCCCCTCCGCCGCTACGCGCGGGGCTAAACCAGATGGCTAGGACTCACTAGCAAAGCTGCAGGAGATGCGGAAGCTACTGCTCGTGAGATACTCTCGGCGGTGGCACTATAGCCACCGGAAGTTCGCAATTTAAGTAGCCGGAAGTCTGCGATTTACATGTGACTGAGGCCCTATCAGGGTTTTTTTCGGTCGCCATAATATGTTGCCGTTATTCGGAGGATAGCCTCCTCGTCTAAAGACAGGGACTCTAAAAGTGCTTACCGTTCACCATAATAAAGTAGCTATGCATGCCTTGTTGACCCTTGGAATAGTCAAGTGGCGTGGTGATTTCGGTCACAGGCATGAGGGAATGTGTTTCTAAGAAGACACTCCCTACATCGCCTCAATCCGACTCTGTTCTGGTTTTAGGAAGACGCCTCCTACACGTCCTCGTCGTGAACTACGGACAATGGTCTGTAGCCGCTTGACAGTGTCTAGAAATCTTTTGCCTCTTATCAGCCCACCCCCAGTGGATAGATGAAAACGTTTATTGAAAACTCGTTTGGAACATAAGTTAAGCCCTCCAACCGAATATCCTGCTACAGGACAATCAAACGTCTGCCAACTGAAGGTCTTACTGAATTGCTAAATAGTCTCAAGTATTCTACAGCATAAAAGCAAAGTTTCAGATGCTGACCATCCAATTCCCTGCTGTGTAACAGACAAGTTTCAGGCTTTCGAATGTCGGTTGCCCTAATGTATGACAGAAAGGTTCAAATGTCCCCTATTATTATTCTCACTCATCAGAATATAGGGACTATAAATGGAAACTATGCCTTATGCATGGATTGCCTACACTGCCGAGCTAAGTGAAAAGTGTTTGCTATGTAGCGGCTTAGACGCTTGACTGATCTGAAGTTCCTGGGTTCGAATCCGAACGGAAACGGATTTTTTTTTTCAAAAATGACCTTGGCTATCAGGTCGACCCTGCCTTAACTGGGTACCAGGTAAAGTCCTGGGAATCAAAGGCGGACGGTGTGATCCGCATAGTAGTGTCGATTGTTCTGAAAATATAAGTGTAGTCCTATACGCCCAATATGCCTAGAGGCGTGAAAAGGGGATTTTAGTTTTGTTACTTTATTAGTAAACATTGGAGGGGAAACATAGGCGGACTCAGGTTACACCTAGTACCATTAATATGTCAACTCCTCGCTGGTTACTGAAGAAGGGAATGGGGCATTTGTGGGAATGTCTCTCTCTTTCTCTCTCTCTCTCTCTCTCTCTCTCTCTCTCTCTCTCTCTCTCTCTCTCTCTCTCTCTCTCTTGGTGTACCACACCAGGACATCACACACGAGATAAACCCCCCGTGACATAAAGTACCACCATGCGGATGAGGATCACAGAAACCCCTTTCAGCCGTTAGGCCATATTTATGGCCCGGCTATATTCAGCCCCCCCCCCACCCACCCCCACCCCCCGCAAAAGGTAGGGTGGGGCTTCAGATAAAGACAAACTGCATCCCTCATTGGGACTACTAGAGTATTGTTGGAATATCCTGAGTGCATTGGTGTCAATTCAGGATTCATTCATTCAATCAATCATTCATTCATTATGTATTCATTTATAACCGGGTCGCTTTTCCATCTGTAGCGAAACAATCAACGAGAGAAATCAAAGACTTGGAACACGAGTGGGAGGTAACAGTACAGACAATTTATTTATGCAGATGGCACAGCATTGATAGCTGTAAACTCACAACATCAGTCGCAGCTGTTGGGCATTGTAGGTACTGGGTGCAAAGAAGGCCTGTCCTTGACTAGAAGCAGAAACAAGAATTATATCCATTACAATTATAATACAAAACAGGGATGCCGACAACGAAAAACCCATTGGGGTGCTCGAACAAGAATCATGTCTATACAAATTATAATGCAGAACTAGGGCGCTGACAACAAGGAGACTACTGGCATGATAAGGGGTAGGCAATTTTAACTATACAAATTATAATGCAGAACTAGGGCGCTGACAACAAGGAGACTACTGGCATGATAAGGGGTAGGCAATTTTAACTATACAAATTATAATAC